TTGGAAATCTATTCGGTTGTAAGTCATCATATAAAGATATAGTTTAATAAATCTATGAATTAATATTTCTTTTTTATCTGAGTTCAGCTAATCCACCGCCGCCACCACCACCATCACCGCTACCACCACCAGAGCCAATAATTATTTGTGAGGATATAATAAATAATTATCTGAAAAAAAGAGTTTTCATATTTGAGATCATACAAATCCACCAAAGATAGAAATAGAACAACCATTATCACGTATGTGTCATTGTATCATTTCATTCTGTTTTATTCTATTATCAGTTTATAGAAACTTCAAAATCAAATAATACTATACTCTACATTGGCAGTAAGTTTGATTTTTTTGAAAAAAAGAAAAGTATGAAAATTATCGTCGTAAATTAGTTGCTGCTGGTATTTTTATTCTCATTTTAATTATAATACTCTGTTGTTGTTTTTGTGGTGGTTTTCTTCTTTTAAAAAGTGACAATAGCTCAACAGGATCATCACGACCATCACGCTTTCGTCGACGACGTGATCGAACTAGTGTCGATTCGACTGCTAGTGATGCTACATATTGATCAGAATTTCATGATAATAAACGTATAAATTTTGCTTTTCATTTAATAAAATAGAATATATCTCGTCATATATGACATAATGATAAATTAACTTTATTTTCACTATTTATATTTAAATAAAGATCTAAACAATATTTTAAGTAAAAGAAAAGAATATCTCTGCCTCTCGTTTACCTTGTGATATGGAGTGTTGCCTAGAGGCACATTCAATTGCTCGATATGTTACACTATATACACAGTAACTAAACACAAGATCAGATGTATGTCATAACGTAGTCAGCATGCTATCAGACGAATGATCCGAGACAAACAGCTATTAGCAACTTATCCAGGATCATTTCATCGCTTGTGGTATTGAGATTTGAACATAGTACCTTGTGAATACATGTGAACAACGCAGTCACTCAGCCATGACATCTTTGATTATATTTTAAAAACTTTAGAAATGAGGAATCTTTCAGGTTAATTGACACTTTATCTTTGTTTCAGCTATTTATATTACTAATTTTATTGAAATTCATGAAACCTTTCAAGACCTATGTCTATTTGACTATAACTATTGATGCCACATAATACCATCTATTACTCTTCATAGGTCAATAATTCAATGATAATTCAATGTATTGAGATTAAACTTTAAAGTAAGTTTTCTCTACAATTGAACATTGTTGTATACAAGTTTCAGAAATAAACCTTATATTTTATGGAAATGGTTTACCCATGATCATCATGTTGGCACCGACGATTCACGAACGCCAATACTCAAGCAAATGAACACATCTTTTGACTGAAGAAAGATCATAAACTGGATCTTAGTTTCATGTAAAAATATCAATAAATAGTCCTGCATTTAACAAGAAACTACACAATATTTAGCAGGCAACCATTTTACAAGTTGTAGATATTAAAGAAAACAATAGGTACCATCTATCATAATTCTCTTTAAAACGAAATGGTGCTGTTGGACTACATTCTTGCTGGAGTATGTGCACACAAATCTCTAGATCTTCAGCATGTATGATGGCTGAGATCCAAGGAAGTGGAGACTTTCATCCACTACTGTATCTGTTCAGTATCATCATCTGAAATATTTGTTTATTTTATCTGCAAGGATAGATTGAATGACAAAATGAGACATCTCTTTTATTCATAATACAATCAAAGAGTGGTATTATATGTGCGAAAACAAGAAATGTTTATTTATTGCACTGTAAAAAAACTTCACAAATTGATTATCATTGACATAATGTGTACATTCAATATAAAACAAACAAAATTTGAGAATTGATATTTATATAAAAACTTATAAATCATTGAGGTATTTTATTGAGAAAAGCTTTTTTTAAATTTTTCTTAGAAAATGTTAGAAGAAATGTATTTCGAAGTATCTTTTTTTTCATATATTTCGGTCAATTAACTATATATAAGTTTGTCATAAATATCATCAGTTTACTGAGAAGGGTTGAAACTTTTCCACCACGCTTCCATATGCATAATACTACTTTTGATTGTAATTCTGTTAGCCATTAGAAACACTAATTATTAACACACATCTATTTATATTAAAAAAAGAGAAAGATCCAATGATTATTGTTCTTTTCTATTTTCGAAACAAAAAGAAAAAATAAACTTTTTGTTTAAACTAACCGCGCTTTGTCTCATGTATTTTACAATAAACATTTTAGTATTCTATGTTTCGCTTTCTGCTTGGGTTCATCTATGTTCAGTACACATTATTCAAATCATCTAAGTCGTCTTCAGGTAATATATAACAATAATAATTAATTCTAATTAAATATATCTTCTTATCGAAATTAGTTTTATCATCATTTAATGAATCATGTTCTAATAATTTCTCTTGTACTAATCCATTGATATGTTCAAATACAAATAAATGTATATGTCCGAAATCATCAACATTTTGGAATAATGAACAAAATGATTGTCTTTCTTGTCTATCGGGTTGGATTCAATGGAAAACTAATCGCTGTCTTTCATTTGCTGTACCATCTGAAGGTGGTCTTTCATATGATCAAGCAAATCATATTTGCCATACATTTTCTGCACAAATTTTTCATATATACAATATAGATGAATTTAAACAATTTCAATTAATAGTAAATGTATTACTTCATAGTACATTTTCAAGTGCTATAACAATATATTTTCGACTTGGTGCATGGATAAATAGATTAAATAGTAAATTTATTTATTATTATTTTCTAATGTTCAAAAAACTCAAACGAAAAAAACAAACATGTGAATAGCTTCTCAACAACTCAAGGAATTTAAATTTTTTTTTACAGTTCGATCATATATCTACTAAAGTTTTCAGATAAAATGTCTATCTACAGAAGTCAGAATTAAAATAGTTTTACTCCTGGTTAAATTTGTCTCAGCTACTATTGTAAAATGAAAGCTGCAAGTCGAATTCGACAAAAAAAAACACGCTAACTGAATCCCGCATTAGAACTATATTTCAGCAATTTTTTGAAACTGATACTGTCGCAAATCGATCGTGTTCTGAAAGACTTACAGAAATGATTGAAGAGAAAGTCAATGCAGTTAAGAGTACTTCCCCTTTTTTCAATTTCTTCTGATTCTCCGCGAGAGTATAATCGATCTATTGCACAAGCTTGCTTATTACTACAAGCAATAGCATACCAAATTATGACGGAACATCTCTTATTAAAGTCATACAAGGTACAATTTGTTCGATAGTTCTACGAAGAAGAACTACAAAGATCCAACATTTGATTCTAATTCATTTTTACAAGCATCCTGATTACTGCAGTAATTACTCTACGATCATCGATTTGCGACAGTACTGGTTTTACCAAATCATTAGCATGTGTCGGTAATACAATATTTAGTTGAGGTATCTTTTCCAAGTTAAATTTCTAGTTACCGTTTTATAATGTTGAATTACTCGAACTTGAACATGAGTAAAACTATTTAAATTTTTTTGAATTGCTGAAGAAGTATTCACATTTCTTTTTGTCGTTCGAACGTTTGGAACACTATGTATATAGTTTTTTTTTTTCAAAATAGTAAAAGAATTAGAAGATGTTTTATGTGATGAAAATGAAAATAATTCTAATTTCGAATGTGTATTTATAAAAAGAAACAATTTAAAAAATGGTACATTATGTTTAAGTCGATTAGAATGTAATGAAAGTATGCTATTTATATGTGATAGTAAGTTTAAAAAAATGTAGACAATTGTTTTTTTTTTTTTTATTCATATGTTCGTCTTTTTTCTTGTAAGTGGCAGCTATGTCGGAAAATTATACAATAGATAATGAAACTTCTATATTTTCAAATCGAGCAATAGCATCAATTATTGGAGCAGTTGCACCATTTGCTGTTGATTTACTTGGTAATTTACTTAATGGAAATAGTATGTATTCGAATTGAACTTTTTTTTGTTTCTGAAATTCTTTGATACATTTTCAAAGAACAGCCATCACCAGAGCTACAACCAATTCAACCATTACCTCCGCAACAAATTATCAGTAAGACTAATTCAATTGTGAGAGAAATTGTAATGAACATTTGTTTTGTTTTAAGTTCAGCAAGAACCTCCACCATCGCCACAAATTGCTTCGCAAGGTAGATTTGTCAATCAAAATTTTTCTATGATATTGTTTTGTGAAAAAATTTGATCTTTACAGAAAAGCCATCATCGAATAATACATTGCTCTATGTTTTATTGGGTATTGGTGGTTTTGTACTTCTTCTGGTTATGTTTGGTATTATCATCGCAATAATTTTCTTTACAGGATGTATGCAAAATTTATCAGCTACTCAACAAACTAACTATCGATCAAGTATTGAAAGTAGTTATAATTATTGATAGTGTGTTAAATATAATAAAACCATTTTACATAAATTTGTTTATTTAAATGAATGTAATAGAATATTTGATTCTTTTGATAATAAAAAATAATATAATAAATGATAGGCAGATATTTTATATGTTGATGAGTATGAACAAGAATAACAAAAACAATTTTTTTTTTTTGACAATTAATTTTCATTTTGGTTGTAAATCTTAGAAACTTGTATAATTTTAAATTTTATCTAAATTCTATTAGAATCCTAAAGATCAATTAGAAAAATATTCAAATTGTCTAATTACTTGTCTTCTACAGTTTGATTCAATGAATAAAAACTATCTCTCGTACTTTTAGCTTATTGTTTACGGAGATATTATACTTTTACAGTATTTTTTAAATAAATATCATGGCTATCTGAGGAACATCGTCAGAATTTTTCTTTAATTTAATTTATTAATAAAAATTAAGATCTTAAATCTTCGAAAATGTTTAAAGTCAAATCGATTGACTGATATAATATATAAAGCGCGTAAATTTCTTTTAAATATTTAATATTTCTAAAGAAATATGATCTAAGTTCCTATTTCAGTTCTATTATGATTTGGCATATCTGTTTCATTTCGTTGGCTCATTTATTTGAAATTCAACTCTTCTCTTCACATATTAATCATCCAGTGAGTCATCAACATACATATCTGTCATGGACAGATAATGCACATAATCGATTTAGTATTGAACCTAATACAAGTGACATATATATAGATAAATGTTATAGACAATTAGAATATTTAATAGCTAGATGTTCATTAACAAAAAGATATTATAATGAACTATATGAATGTCATCCTGTACAACAATCTTATTTACAGAAAAGATTAAAACGAGATATTAATGATCAATTGAAACGATCTCCACATATACTTCTATCATTAGTTATTGGAATAACATCTTTTTTAGTTGGTATTATAATTGGGACTGTTATTGGCATTTTTATTTCAGCAAAAAGACAACAACGATATAGTGAAAATAGTCAACTTGATTCTGATATTAGATCGTTAAGTATCAATAATGAAATTTCGAAGAGATCGTATGTTTTCTAAAAAAAAAAAAATTTTATTCTATCAACAAATTTTCATATCGAGAAAATTTAATCATTTTTGTTTTTGAGTAATTTTTTCAATCATTCTGAAAGAAAATCGTCTAAATACAGTTTCATCGCATGGTTCTTTTTTGTCCTAAAATATGTTTTACTATACGAAATTTCATCTGAACTCATTTTTTATTTGTAATAATGCTTTCAATGCAACACTTTTTGAAACTATTTCAATTCGATTCATTTTTGTGGAAACCATGGTAGAAGTTCTATCAAATCTCTTAATTAAACATGTTTACAGGTCGGAAGATTTAAACTGATGAAGAAACTATTCCAACTGTTACCTGCCATTTTGACATCATATTAGGTCCACAAGAAGGTTTTTCGAAGAGTAGACAAAGTCTAAAAGAATTTTTCCCATAGATAGATTTAATAACCTTTAGTATATTCTAAAAGTTTCAGCCAACAATCATGTTTCTTTGTCGAGATATTGAAACTTTTAGAAAACTTAATTTTTGTGATATGTCTATGGTGAACGATTTTTTTTGGAGAGAATCATTAGACCTATTTATGGACAAAGTTTTAGGTCGAAATTCTGTGATTTGATTTTCCAATAAATGCCTAAAAATGAATCGAAAATTTAGTACAATGGCCATAAGCCGGTTTCGAAGACCTATAAGGACGGATTATTTTAGACTTTTTCTAGTTTTACGAAGATCTGTTTTTGAGGTCAAATGGTAGGTGATAGTTCCCTCATGAATAGAACTTGAAATATAAATTTCGATTTGATAATGTTCATTTATATATTAATCTACAGCCTATATTATTTCATTTTTTTTAATATCTATTTCAAATAAAATACAATACTGTTGAATGAAACCATCTAATAAATCCATTAAAACATATGATATTGATAGTATTTATATCTATATATTTATCTCTGAACAGAAATCAAAACAAAGAATTTACAAAGTCTCCTACGTTTAACATAACTTCTGATCATATGTTCATACAGCGAGAACGAGGTATTATGTTCATACACTAATTGCTCAAAAAAAAAAGAACAGCGATGATGCTTTCTTCATTAGAAATATCTGATAATACACCTATGACATTAAATCGATATCAAACATTACAAGATCAATCACTAAAACAAGAACGAAGTATGAATAAATAAATCTATTGATTTTTGAATGTATATTTTTTCTAAAAAGAATTAGCAATTCAACGACCACTTATTTCAAATTTTGCATATATCAAATCGTCAATACCACATGACAATATATCTGGTAGTCTTATAAAAAGTAAAACACCATTAAACCAACAATACAAAGTATCCAAAAATGCCAATAATAATATAAAAAATAATTCTATGCGTGATAAACGTTCAAAATCTTGTTAAATGTTAATTGAACTCAATATGAGACATACTTGTTCAGTTCATAGATGATTTCTTCAATATATTCAAATATTATGAAGAACTTAATAATTTCGAAACAACATTTGATTTATTTAATCATGTAGATTTCTTTTTGTTTTTGATAGAAATATTTAATTTAGAATACAAATTAAGATAATTCGATATTAAATTAAATAAAAGTTACACACCATTTTAAATCAAAAACAAGTTATTGTTATCGTCTTACTTGTTTCGATTGAAAATTATATAAATAATTTAATAGGGATAACAAGTTGTCATAAAATTATACGTGAACACCTGAATGAATAAATGTGGATACTCAACAAGTAGACAAGCTAGTGAAAAGCTATATTCTCATGATAGCATATAAATGTATATCCATCCAATTGATAATATAATCTTTCTGGCTTGCAGTGTGTTAGGAGGGTGGAAGCCGCCTCCTCCTTTGAAATGTATATATCCTATACGCTAAGTATCTTTTTATAGCTATATGATTTACAGAAATTCTTGCTCTTGTTGGATAGGACTTCTATTCTTGTCACACAACTGATGAGTATTTATAGAGTTTAACATTGAAATAACCCACGGATCCTTTATGCTCGTTCTGTTGATAATTGGTAAGTATAAGACTCAGTAATGACGAATACCTTCTTCTCTAATATTAAAATTTCTTTTCTAAATTTTTGCAACCGTTACCGATGACAATAATCATAGATGTACGAAGTTTTTTCGATTTTAAAGCTTGATAAAATCATATCTTCAAAGTACTATGGATGAAAATAGTTTGAATAGATTAGCTTTCATATATGTGTTCATAGATCAAAGCATATATTTGGACAGTTGATAATAGCAAATGTTTAAAAAATCGTCAATAACTTGTTCCAATCTGCTGCCACTATCTATTTACTTAATTCCCCAGGAATGCAATAAGTAGTTCATATATGATGGCATGATGTTATTAATATACAGTCTATGACGTTTCTATGGTTGTATCTGTGTGAGTCGAAGTTTCTATTCATATACTTTAACACATTTTAGATCACGCTTTACACAAAACAAAGGATAGGAAATTCAATCAAGGTATAACTGAGCACAGACGATAGAATTTTATATTAGACAAAATATCCTATGCGATTCAAATCTGCGGGTCGTGCGAATAGATGTGTAACATGAGATCGTTTCTAAAATTATTCATGTTGTTTACATCGTTTCATCTTGTCATTAATAAATCTATTCATGATCAAAAACAATGTTATGATATTTTTCTATCTCTCATTTGACCTTGATTGAAAATAGAAGATTATTATTACTAAGTGCTCGACATATTAACATATATTTATAAGTAGAATAATAACTTGCAAACAGAACAAAAAAATATAAACATATCAACCATTGATTTTCTGAAATGTTACGAAAAATTTCAATACTATTTTTCATGTTGATACAATAGCATTATTGATTCCTTTGTAAATAATATAAAAATTTCGAAGCACATACTTTTTTTTCTGTCCTTTCTTATTCATACATAAACACCAATGTAGAAAACATGAAACAACATCAATGAACAGTACAATAAAGTAATATAGAGTTATAGTAATAAACAAGAAAAAAAAACGAAGGAAAGAAAAAAAAAAAGAAAAACTTTGTACAATAAAGCCAAGAACAATAAAAGAAAAAGAAAACACGGGTGACCATCGTTCACTCGAGTCGTTGACCTATAAAACAAAACAAAAAAATAATTCAATATACACAAACAATTATTCCTTTTTTTTTTTTTTTTTTGAAACATAATTATTAAAAATAAAAATGACATATGAAGGCTAATACTAGAGAAAAGAACAATATTCTCATGTACAATGAAAATCAATCCATCGTATTTCACCTTTGATTCCTTCAAGGATTCTATTCAAAGACTTATTCTTCTTTTTTTTTGCACACTTACTGTTTTTACAATATCAACAAGCATCCATTGAATGATACTCGTTTATGAAACGAAAGAAAACAAAAAGGAAACATTGTAAATATACGAATTCTCAAGGGACTTATTTGCCAAATTTTTCTCATTTTTATTGTTCAACAATAATAATTATCATTATATTAAAAAAAAAAACTATTTATTCATTATTTAGAAAAAATTTCTTATTTATATACATCGATGAATAAAACAAAATTGAATACTATATATATATATCTGATCAAAATACTATTATATCATTAATGGGAAACAAAAAAGATGAAAAAAAAAATATATTAAAACAAAAATAAAATTTTAAAAACCCATGCATTTGCATAGTAGAATACGAAATATCTCAATTAATGCATTAAAACAAAAAAGACAATAACAAAAATTGAGAACAATATTCCAAAGGCCATGAAAAACAAAACATATAAAAGTGTGACGGTTGTATAGAACAAAATAAAATAAAATAAAAAACATTATTTGACTATTCATTATATTATGACTAGAGAATAAATAATTCTATTTAATAGAATCAAAACGATATTCATATATATATATATTCATCTGACTAAGTAGACATCATTACGAGGGAATTAAAAAAAGAAAGAAGACGACAATCACATATACACACAACCATCATGAAAAAAAAAAATTTTTTTTTTTCAAACGAGCGAATACAAAAAATTTATTGAACAGCTTACCAGATTTTATGTCTTGTGTTCGTTTCAATGTTTTTTTTTTTGTTCACAAATATGAAAAAAAGCAAAATAGTTTTCATCGTCGTCGATGATCACGACTATATTTTCCATCGTAATCTTCACTACTACGTCGATATTCATTTCGATCACGTGGACTACGTGTACGATGACGATGTTTCTTACGTGATTCACGAGGCGATCCAGAACGACTTCGATGACGTGCTCTATATATTAAAAAAAAATTTTTGTTTTTTAAATTAAATATAAAAACAAAAGAAAACAAAAAAATTAAAATCTACCTTTGTCCATAAGATTTATCTTCGATACCTTTAAGAGTATCTTGAAGAGAACTAATTAAAATTTTACATCGATCATCATGAGCAATTTTTGATTGTTTTATAAGTGACACAGCTGTAACTAATGTTTCAATAGCAGTACCAAATTCACCTAATTAATAAAAACTATTATTAGTATAATTCCTATGAGATTAAAATATGAAACGCTTTGTAAAAGATGCATACTAAAATTATTCAACAAGATTTATTTTCAAAATATTTTCTGCTATCGTAAGTGTTGAAAAAAATCCAAATAATGATTGGAATAGAGATAATAATTTCCAATAAGAATATAAAGAAATAAAAATTATGATATAGTTTATTGAGAAAGTCAACGTTTCGACTACTGTGTAGTCATTATCAAGATAAAATGGTAAATATAATCATGTTTACTCTACATAGAACGATACACCAAAAACAATACTCTATAAAACGAGACGTCTAACTTCCTATCAAAACGTCACTTTTCGACCTTCAATCAAAATGGTTGTATCACAGTCGAAGAATGTCGCAGAGAACTATGACATATCTCATTCTGTAGAGAATTATTTGCTCTATTGTTCTATGTAATATAAACAAAAGTATATTTACTCG